TGGCCAGACTTGGAGAACCTCAGACAGCTTGGCAAGCTGGCTCAAAGCGAACGGCAGATGGCAGATGAAGGTTTTTTGGGATCATCCCCTTGCCATAATTTCGGTTGTCTCGCCGATCTTTTTCCAATGATATGGACATGGTTTTGAATATGACTCAGGTCACTTGGACAGAGCTTCTGTCTTGGCTGGAATTTGAAGTGCATAGTGCGCTGAAAGGCTTATTCTGCCTTTGATCAAGCTTTGGCTGGGTGTGGCAGCGTGGCACTCAAGAGATGATACTTTGTTCAGAATTCATTGCAGGGTCCTGTTGCAGGGTGCCGCTGGCCGTTGGCTCGTGAGACTGAGGGTGTGTTGATTTCCAGTTTGGTGCTGTTTTCGGCTGCAACGGAGGGTATGACGAGCGATAACTTGGGCTGGGTGCAGCTGGTGCGGTTAGTACTCCTGCTTGTCAAGCACTTGCTGTTGGTGTTTTACCCGTATCCCTTAATTGGTGGTTTAGATTGGTGGTTTAGATTTGGACTTGAACCCTGGTTCTCGTGGGTAACTGGGAACCCCCCTCCTCCAAACCACCGATGCGGCTCCAAAGCACCAAGGGGTGAGCTGAACACTTTTAAGTGTTGAGAGGGTGGTGCATGCGTTTCTGGCGTCGCTCTCAAGAACCACCACTGCCAATTGGCCGTGGGTCAAAACCAATGGTACCATTTTGGGGTAGGTGCACCACCCATTTTAGAACCTATTTTTGTGGTTGAATTGGGATTCTTAGTGGGGGCTAACCGATTTGGATTTTGACCCATGGCCAGTTCTTGACAACCGCACGACAGGCGAAGTCTGGATGCACTCCGGGGGAGCTTGCCCGGGCCTCGGTTCTGAGGCCGTCCGGTTTTTTAGGCTTCGAGTGGTTTTTGGTTGGTTTGGTGAGGTGTTTGGGTTCTTGGCGGTTTTAGGGTTTAGTTTACTTAAGCCACAAGTGAAACTTTAAGCAGATCTGACAACTGACAGCCCAGTCGATCGCTCATTGAAGTTTGATGCCCGGGCCGATTCGCTGGGAGCCACCTCGAAATGCACTCCGTGAGGTGATGGTGGGCGACAATCCTGCCAAAGACGTGCAGGGTGCCAAAGATGCCGGTGCCATGGCAGGAAGCGGGCCCGCGCAGAAACAAAAACACACCCGGAAAAAAGCCTTCACATATGTTATAACTATAATGCTGAAGAAGAGCTGCCTGTCCAAACACTTGGCAACACGGATTCCGGAAACCTTGACCAAATCGTGAATTGCTTCCTGTGATTTTTTTTTTCTCTGATGTAAGTGTGGCGAGCCTCACTCAGCCGAGCATTCTCCAGCCCCACAGAATCATTAGAGATCAAAAAGGCGCTTTCCTCGTACGATGTTTGTTGTTCAGGCAGCTGGGGAAGCACGTGGTTTCTTTGCTCTCACCGCCTTGTAGGTTCTTGAAAGGGTGCTCCGAACGGCAAGCACGTATTGCCTGGTTGCACAATGGCTCTGGTTGAATTCGTCCCAAACCAGGTCTTGAGGCCATGGTCGAAAGACCCTCGTACTTTGCGTTAGCAGGGATTACCGTAGCACGGATTATCGTCCGCCTGGTGGTAAGGTTCCCTAACCGACCAACATACTGACCATGAGCCAGTCGGCCACGGGTTTCGGCGTTTTGACCATGGCTCATGAAAAGTGGACGATTGGATGGAGCAGCCCTGAGGCGCATGCCCTCTGCTCGCCCGTGCTTTTGCCCAGGTGAAGGTGAAGAAGCGCGCTTTGTTCAATATGCTAAGAGCGTCGCGGTAGTTTGTGATACTGCGGATGGACAAAATCCACTACCTGAGAAACGATGGGAAACCATTTTTGGTATTTACAGGGGAATCATCATTCCAGGGTTTGCAGGATTTCGTCCATCCACAATATGTCAAAAATATGAGTCCAACTGGCATTGTTTTTGCCATTTTTGCTCAAGCTTTTTCTCTTTGTTTAAGACGGTGAAACTTCTTTTGGAATCCCCAGCTAAAAGAAGAAGAGTGAGTTGTGGCGCGCCCACCAAAAAACGAACTGCGACGCTGTCGCCGCTTTGGTGTCTGATCGCATGCCCGAGGCTGGCGTGCCATTTGGGTCCGCCCTCCGGCGGTGGCGATATCCGGCAGCGCCTTCGACGTCTCGCAGGGCGCAGCGCAGCCGGCGCCGGCGGATGCTGAGGTGGACCACGTCAGGGAGGCGGGTTGGCCTGGAGCTTTGAGGTGGCCCAAGACTTGTTTTTGGCTGTTCTGCTGGAGCTTGTTCTAATAGCACCTCCCTTGGCGGGAGGGAAGGCGAAGGCGTAGGAAGGCGTGCTTTTTCTTCCATGATTGACTTTGGATGCTGCGCTTCATGTGTGGGCGCTATCTCGTTTCGCTCGCAGACTTGAGCTTCTTGAGTGGAAGCAAGCAACAGTAAGAGCCTGCCCAGACGATCGCTGACTGGTTGCCATTCCCAGAAGCAAGTTGCAAGCAGGGCAGTTGCCCAATGCTCATGTCTGACAGGTTGAATCAATTCTTCTGCGCTGGGCACAGTCCTCCCTCTAGGCACGTCAGGGACTGGGCGTGGCTTCAGACGCGGCCACCGGATCTTGAGAAGGTCCACATTGGTTTGCTCTTCTTTGAAGGTACCCCTTGGGTGGTTTTAGAGGCGTCATTTTGGGGAACCTAAAAAAAGACACCCATTCGCAATGGACGGGCTGTGGAGCTGCTACGCTTCCACACTTTCCGGGTTCTCCCCCCTTGCCTCTTGCCGCCCGAGGCCTTGCCCGTTGCCCAGCGAGGGCACAAGAAAGCCAAAAAACGCCGGGATGGTGGGATGGGGCAGCTACTGCGCTCTGGGTGGAGGATTTACGTTGAAGCACAGCGTTTCAATCAGCCATTCATGCATTTCAGCGATTTTCATGAAATCTTTGTATCTGCGTTTGGCATGTCAGACCGGACGTTTTCTCCTCGGATTTGGGCTTCAGCCGGCTCCGAGGTTCCCCAATCAGGCGCGGCTTCCGGGCATAGTGCACGGCAACGGCCCCAGCGCCGAAGTGGGAGGCACGTCAAAACCTCGGGACCTCGTGAGTTTTTTCGCCTTGGCACGTGGCCGGCAGCTTTTCCCTTTTTGTGATGGCCCTCAACGGCGTTCAAAGAAGTCTACCGTTGAGTCATGATCTTCGGGTTCATAGCCCACACCTCGTTGAGCCTTTTTCTCCACGCCTTGGCTCATTGCCCGTGAGCACATGCCTTTCAACCCGAGAAAGCGCGTGAACAAATTGTCAAGGACCGCACTTTCTGGGCTTTTGACTCCGAGCCCCTACACGATCTCTCAGAACGGGAAAACACTTTCGGATTGCCATAGGAAGTCCCTGACTTCCGGACAAACAACCGAGCTGAAGATTCGTGAGATTCGCGACGCTCCGCTCGCTCCCGTTTTCGCCGAGGCATCAAGTACGACTTGGATAGCAGGCGCTTGGTGGGGGTCATGACCTCCGCCTCCACCGCGCGGATTCGGATGCTGCAGCCCTGGCAGTGCCCCCGCGAAAAGAGCGCGGTGAGTAGAAAGCCCGAGGTTCAGCTTGTGTGTTTCTTTTCTTCGTTTTTTGTTGTTGTGGTTGTTGAAGTAAACCAATGTTCCCTGAAAGGCCGCCAGATTTGACCATTCACTATTCCCATCTTTTTTGGGGTGGTTTCCCCAACGGTCACCCCGGATGGCTCATTTTTGTTTGGAGTTGGTAGCACCTTCTTTTTTTTTAGGGGGGAGACCGACCTATGAGCGTCTGAGGATTTCCTTTCTAGCTCACAAATACCTGACCTTTCCGCTGGGCCCTCTACAGCTTGAAGTTTCTGAGTGCCAGGGAGCCACGAGCAAACAGCTGAAAGGCCTTGTGAGTCAAACAGTAGACTCCATATTTTGCTCTGACAACCACAGGGCTACAGTGCTGGCAAGCTTGCAAGACACATCATTTCAGAGTTTCAGGATGTCCAGCCTGGCTTGTCATTTTGGCCATAGAGGTACTGGCTCTTCACGGCGACGATCGAGACAGCGAACCCTCTTTTCCCTTCGGTCACTTTCGACGAGGCTGGAGGCTTAGAGGCGTTCCGGGATGGATGGACGAAATCCATTTCGCAGCACCGAACAAGTTTGGGTTTCGATTCGATTCCCCAATGTAAATACCAACCTTATGGTGTCAACCATGGTTTCATTTCGTGGTGCGAAAGACGTGCTTCCGGTTTATACATTTGTCAGTTGATCAAAAGGTCCTTGACATTGGATGACCATTTGGGGAAAACCCACAAACAAGACGATCTTTCCCGCTTTTCAGGGAAAGGCCACACATGGTCAAAACAAACAGGGGCCTTTCCAGGAATATGTTCATCAACCATCCCATTTATGAGATGCCGTTTTGCTGCGCGCCAAGGAGCTGCCTTTGATTAACTTCGGGGAGGCCATGTCGGAGCAGTTTATGGCGTGGACGACGAACTCCGCCATCTACTCCCGGAACGGCCGGGGCAGAAGGGCAGAAGGGGGAGGGAGGGCCGAGCGAGCAGAAAAAGGGAAAGGGGGGAGGTGGGAAACAGAGTCTTTTTCTTCTCCAAGATCGATCCGGGTCTTGGTCTGGCCTGATGTTGGGAATTGGGGAATGGGGGGGGGTGAGCTGGGTTGAAGTTTGGATCCAACGTGCCAGGCCGGGACATCTTCGTGTTCTGCCAGGCTGAGCCTGCAGGATTACTGAAGAACACCAAGAGCGGCACTTAGTCCCACTATTGGGGGGGTGTTCCCTCCCAAAGTGATGAATCCCCACTAAAAGGGGACACCCCCCCTTATTAATCAACCAGGGGTTTATTAATCCGGGGTTAACATTACACTTGATGCATGCGTTTCTGCAAGAGCGTTGGCTTGGACTTAGCAGACCCCGGTTTGAAAGGACGGGTGCATAAATCATTTAATTTTGGTTGAGATGCCAGTGTCTGTATCTGCGGCGGCTTTGAGAAAGCGACGCCACGCATCTTAAAGTCATACTGGAGTTGCCCAAAGCTTGAGTTTAGGGCCTGCTCTCGCTTTGTAGACGTCAGCTCGCACCCGTTAGGCCTTTCGCACATCCTAAGATGTTCACAGAATCTGGTGTGTTGTCATAGCAATGACATGCCCGGTGGTCCGGTTCGTTTGGATGTGTGTCGAGATCTGTTGGTAGCTGACTCCTCTGGGACTTGCAATCGGAGAAGTCGCTTTCTTCAGGTTCCAGACGCTGGGGGCACGTGAGGTCTCGCGTGTATTTCATCAGCATCCCAGATGCCGTGATGATCGAGGCGAGAATTCTCTAATTCTTGAGAGGCCGTGGCACTGCCCATTCTCCTCGCCCTTTTGTTTCTTCTTTTAATCGCTTGAAGCACTTGGTTTGTGCTTTGGACCTCAATATCACCGCTATCACTTGGTTGCCAACCGACGGGAGCTCCAGAATTCTCATTCCAAGCTTCTCTCGCCGACGCCGTCGAAACTCGGCCGACGCCGGCGCACGAGTGGCAGGCACAAGGCTTGGACTTCACGGTGCTGCAGCTGATGGCCGGGCGCTTGGCACGCGGAGCGCGGCCGCAAATTCGATGGGCCGCGGGCTGTTTTTGGTTTGGTGGGGCATGTGGCCGCCTTTTTTTTTTGGTGGGCGTTTGTTTGTGCCCCCCCCCCTTGAGTTGGAAGTGAGTGAGCATTGGAGGTGTGCCGTAGGTGTTGTTGCTTCGGTTTGCGGATCCAGGTCTGACCGAAGCGTGGCTTTTCTGCTAGCCCTGAGGTCAACGAAAAGGATGGCGATGTCGTTGCGGTGGGGCACCGCTCGGGTTACATGATGATCGTAGTGACCTCAGAGCAAAGACGTAAAGACGGCGGGGCTTGCAGCTCAGTTTTGGTGCATTGGCTTACAAAGGCATTGCATTTGCCCGCATCGAGGTCACCATTGCGACTATTTACTTGAATGAGGTGGAGGCCAGGGTGAGAGGCAGTTCGTCTTTTTTCTGGCTGCTAGATATGTCGGTTCGAAGACCTTGCTTGCGCGGGTGGAGCAGTGACGTCCACAACACGACTTCCTAGAATTGCTGGCAAGCCTGGCAGTTATGTTTCTGTTTGACTGGATCAGAACAACTTTTCAGCTACAGGTGCCTTAGCCGGGCACTCTCTCAAATGTGCACCCAAATGCCACCACCACACTGTGCCACCTCCGTGAGTGATTGGATCGCCTGCGCAGAATGCCAAGCGAGTGGATTGGATGTACACGCCTGCCTTGCTGGGCGCTCAGGATTCGGTGGCCAAAAAAGCAAAAGGAGCAAGCACTGCGTGGCTTTTTTCATCTTTTTTTCACCGATCTCGGCATCGAAGCGAGGCCTCAGCGCCTGGTTCCGACCGAAGACTTTGGAGACCTGTTCCTCACGCCGGGCCTGGTGTGGCCCAGAGAGGTGTCATGTGTAAAACCCTTGCGCCACGGAGTTTGAAGCAAAACGCGCTCGGCGCATGCCCAAGGTCGCCAGCGAACACTTGTTCGCGAAGAGCTTCATCATGGTCAGGACCGCGTCGACGGGAAGAGAGATTCTCCGCTCGAGGCAAACATGTTCGCCGAGCTGCCCGGCGCTTTGCGACATGCTCTCGGCAAACGACTGCGCTCCAGGAAGTATCCAGTTGACTGGACGGAGCCCAGGGACCCCGAGCTATACCCGCCGATTCTGATGGAGGCAGGCGCGAGCGAGGATTTTTTTCCCGAATGCGTAGCGAAGGGTTGTTCGCAACCGTCCGCAACCGTTCGCAGCCATCCGCAGTGAGGCGATAAGCGTGTGCCGTTGGTTGGCAAGCTCGTCGTGTTGTTTTATTGCGCAGGCGCATTCTTGGAAGGCCGCGTGTTCGTATGCCATGGCGCTTTGCGTTTCAGGGGTAGTCGTTTTGAGGTGTCCTGCTTGGCGCGTGCAAGCGTTTGCGCGGGTGGCATTTAGGTTCGTGGAAGCAGCTCGTTTTGGCGAGCTTGAGCTTTGTCAGAATCGGTCGAAGTCACGGCGTCACAGTTCCGGGCACACTTGTCGAAGCTGGATTTCGCGACCGGCGCAATAGCTTGGCAGATTTTGAGGTCCTGGCAAGCGTAGTTCGCGTGACAGGCGCAGGGCTTTAGAGCGCTTTGTTTAATTTTTGTGGCAGGCGCATCGCTTTAGAGCTTTGTGGGTGGTGGGTGCGTGAGAGCGAGAGCCAGAGCCAGAGCCAGAGTGAGAGTGAGAGTGAGTGAGAGAAGAGTGAGCGGGCGAGTGAGTGAGCGAGAGAGAGAGGGAGCGAGTGAGAGAGAGTGAGCAAGCGAGAAAGCGAGTGAGGGCGCGAGTGAGTGAGCGCGAGAGAGACAGAGAGAAAGTGAGCGAGAGTGAGTGAATGAGTGAGTGACTGTGAGAGTGAGAGTGAGAGAGAGAGTTGGAGAGTGAGTGAGTCGGTGAGCGAGCGAGTGAGCGAGTGAGTGCGCGAGTGAGTGAGCGAGAGAAAGTGAGCGAGTGAGCGAGTGAGAGTGAGAGTGAGAGTGAGAGCAAGAGCGAGAACGAGAGCGAGGGCGAGAGTGAGAGTGAGAGTGAGAGTGAGAGCAAGAGCGAGAACGAGAGCGAGGGCGAGAGTGAGAGTGAGAGTGAGAGTGAGAGTGAGAGTGAGAGTGAGTGAGTGAGTGGGTGGGTGAGTGAGTGAGTGAGTGAGTGCGTGAGTGCGTGAGTGAGTGAGTGAGTGAGTGAGTGAGTGAGTGAGTGAGGGTGGGTGGGTGGGTGGGTGGGTGGGTGAGAGTGTGAGAGCGAGCGAGAGCGGGTGACAGTGTGAGAGTGAGTGAGAGTGAGTGAGAGTGAGTGAGAGTGAGTGAGAGTGAGTGAGAGTGAGTGAGAGTGATTGAGAGTGAGTGAGAGTGAGTGAGAGTGTGAGTGAGAGTGAGTGAGAGTGAGTGAGAGAGTGATTGAGTCGAGAGAGAGAGAGAGAGAGCGAGAGTGAGCGAGAGTGAGTGAGAGGCAAGTGAGAGCGAGTGACAGTGAGTCAGAGTGAGTGAGTCTGTCAGAGCACATGCTGTGTTGTACTACATGGCTTGCGCATGACCGGAGGCCTCGAGCTTTACTACATTGCGAGCCCATGAGAAACAGGAGTTGTGCAGACTACAGGTTTGTTTGTGTTAACAACAATGCGACACTTGGACTTGTAGTAAACAGCAGTCTGAATTTAACGCAGTCGAGAGAGAGAGAGAGAGAGGGAGTGAGAGTGAGTGAGAGTGAGTGAGAGTGAGCGAGAGCGAGTCACAGCGAGTGAGAGACATTGTGGTGACAGTGAGTCCAAAGTGAGTGAGCGGGAGAGAGTGAGTGACAGTGAGTGAGAGTGACTCTTCATACTTTAAGCTTAGAGCCAACGGGCAGTGGGCAGACTACACTCGTTTTCGTGGCTTCTATCAAGTTTTTGTCATCTCGCCATGGTCTCAAGAGTATCGAGTACTTCAAGGGTCGCATCGAGTGGACCCCATCCTGCATCTGTGTTTTTTCGTAGACGCCCTAAATCAGTCGGCGATGCAAAATGGCTTACGGCGCTTCAATGGTGGAAGATGGAGACCCTTCTCCCTGCTTGTGACAACTGCTTTAATATCCTGAACATCTTGTTTTTCTCTGGCGAGGGTGGTGAGGGTAAGCGGTGGGGGAGCATTCTTCTCATTGCCTCACGCGTCGGGGCTGTTGGCTCCGCCGCAGATTAGCATCCGGGAGCAGATCTACTTCGCCTCTCCGGCCTCGAGTTACAGCGTGGCGAACAGGGAGTGAGCTGTCCATCTCCCTTTGTCGGACCTCTGGAATGGTTGGAGCCCACCGGTAAACTGCAACTTTGGATTTGGGAAGGACAAACACCTGGCCATCTCTTTGACTTTCCCTCCCTCTCTCTCTCTCTCTCTCTTTTTCTCCTTGTCTCTCTGTCTCTCTCTCACTAGACTGTGAATGAGACTGTTGTTTCCTCCCGGCTGGTTGCATTGGCCAGGACTGGTGCCCTGCTGACTGCAAGGGCACCGTCAGCTACAAGTCCCCTTACACGCCATTCTTCAACAAGGCGCCGGAGAAAAGTGGCAAGGAATGGATTGCAGTCCAGCACGAGTTTTCCCGGTCCTTGTTGAAGCTTCCCCTTGCGGTTTTCGGCAACATAGCACTCGTGTTGAGAATTTGCATTGCGACAACTTGGCCAAGAGGTGACCTATCCGAGTTCCTGGGCCCCCCCACATTCAGATCAGAGTTTGAGGTTGCTCGCAGGTTGTGTTTAGTAGGATTGGGTTTTTAGTCACCAGAAGTCAATGGCTCTTTTTTCAAGAAGTGCCCGTGGCCTGTGCATTTGAGAGGCTCGTGGGACTGACCTCAGGAGCCCCGCATCCCGCTGTCCCTGGCAGCGCCCGCACTGGTCTATGCACGGTTCAGCATGGAGGCGCCTGACCTTGGAAGGGCATCCGGTTTTTTGTTGTCACTGGGTTTCCAGCTGGCAAAACCAGTTTGGGAGTCTAGGATATCTCTTGGCTTGGTGCCTTGCTTCGCCCCCTAAGCACCATCAAACATGTGACTTGCGGCGGTCCGGGATTGTTTCGAAAATGCTAGGCATTCGCGATTCTGAGTCTGGGCAGTGGCTGTTAGACCTCGATCCACATTGACGGGGTCCTATCAAAGGGTCAAACGCGAGCTGTTTCTAGAGGCGCCAGAGGTCCATCGGTTTCCTGTTTGCATGGGCATCGCTCCGGTTGAGAAGCATGATTGTCTGCTCCGCAAAGGTTCACGTAGATCAAAACCGCGCAGAGGCCGTGACCATTGACGTGCAGTTTGACCGAGCTACGCTGCGTGGTGCGCTGCCAGTAAGCACCACAGGTGACATTGTGCCCAGGGCCCGGATTGAGCGCCGGATAGCAACGATCAGCCAGTGAATTTCCGAGTTTTGATATGGGGAGAGAGAGAGACAGCCAGGAACCAGAGGTCGGAGACTTTTTTTTGCAGGGCGGAAGGCAAGTCCCAAGTGCCGAAGGTGTGCAGGACCCTCACTCACTCGGAAAAATAACTTGTGGGCATTCGGGTTTGACATGGCGGTTTTCATTTCTGTCAAGGCCTGACATCATTGACTACACCACGCAGCTGACGGGAGATGCTTGGGACTGCGCCAATGTCTTTGACGAGGCGCGAAAAAACAAAAAGCGACTGTGGAGTTGGAACAGTCCGGCGCACAGGCAAGCCGTGAGGCAAGCAGGAAAACCGGGCAAGTCCTGGCGCCTTTGACCGAATCCGTGATTTGACTGGCATGGTCAAATCCAGTTTTGCTAACGCGCTAAGATTGCATATGGTAATGAGAGAGTTTTGGAGCAAGGAATTGCATAGGAGGGGTTGCCACAAGGCGGCACCGGGGTCCAACAGGGACCCCATATCGTATGAGGGACCCCTACAATGGATTTGGGTTTTGCTGTTGGTTTCCCCTTGCCAACCAAAACCCGGAACCCCAACACAAGAAGCGACACCCATATCTTTTGTTTGAATCAGCTTCCTTCCATGCCTCGGCCAGGACACGATCATCCTGCTTGGGCCCTTCCCAGAAACCAACTGCAAGTGGGCCGGGCGTCTTAGCGTTGGCAGCATGCGGATGGCTTGGCTCCCCGATAAATTGGGAAACGGCAAGAGGGAAGGTTCTTGGCGTGGGCTTCTTCTCCCGCAGTTGAAAGAGATTGAGCACCAGAGCTGAACAGATCGGCGACACCGTACCTCGGCTTTCCACGGGCCATTGCCACATCCACTTCGGGTCCGACTCACTCGGCTCGGCTCACTCGGCTCGCTCGCAAGACTGCAGGCCTCGGATGATCTCATCCAAATCTCGCTGCCCCGTGTCTTCGACATCCAGGCGCGCTTCTGGGCCCACCACCGGCCGGCTGGGGCTTCCTCGGCCTTGATGCCGTCTTCCATTTGGCTGGAATCATCGATTGATCTTGGCTTTTTTTTCTTCTTCCCCTGTTGATTTTAAAAAATCGAAGCCGCTGCTGGACCATGTTGTTCTTCCTGGGGGCTTCGGCAAATGGAGGCAGTTTCCAATTTTTCGGCCGAAGGCCGGTTTCCAATGGTCCTCTTGTGCAGTGACTCTTTGAGTGGTTTTGGGCGATATTTCTTGAGGCACCCATTTTTTGACGGTGAAGACGGATCGATCGCTGCAGAGGTCGGGGATCAGATCTTCTTGAAGGCGGACATCATCTATACCATCCCTCGGCCGCAGGTGTGGTACTCGTGACCATAGGTCGAGGTGTGACGGGAAAAGATCGGCAAACCCCCGTGGATGGATCTTCACTGGGGTTTCTTTGCTTTGCCGTTTTTTCCCTTGTGTTCTTGGCCAGTTTCAATGAGCATGTGGCTCATTGCTTATGGCCGTTGCCGGGCCGTTCCATGTGGCAGCTCTTGAGCGAGTTTGGGGAAACCTCCACGTTGCCGCATAGCCTTGATTTGGGGGTTGATCAGAAGGTCCTTTACATGGGATGACCATTGGGGAAATCCACTACATGATGTTTCCCAAGTGGGAAAAGTTGCTCGTGGTCATTTGGGGGCCCTTGGGCGCAGAACACTTCAGGAGAACGAGTACTCCATGGCAGCGCAGGGCGGCATTGCAATCTCACTGTTTGGGCACCCGAGGTGGCGAGAGCACTGAGGGTGGGACTGTCATGACGTTCCTTGTGAAAGTTCCACTGGCAGATGCGCTCCTCGATGAAACCGCGCTACATTGTTCAGTGAGAGTCAAGTAACACAAAGAAGTCCCCGCATCATACCCTATGCCGCCAATGCTTTGGGCAAGAACGAAACGAGCCCAGCACAAACTGGGTGTGCCTTCTTTTTGGGACCCCCCCAAATAGTGGGTTTCCCGTTGGTTTTCTTTAAAGCCACCCAGAAAGGAGCTACCAACTTACCCCCAAAAAGACGAGCCATCCGACTATGCTGGCTGAGGCCGGACCCGCTCGAGCAGCCGGTGGTCATCATCACGGGCCAGACAGAGGTCGCGGCTTGCACGCACGCACACGCGCACACGCACGCGCACGCGCACGCGCACGCGCACGCACACGCGCACGCACACGCACACGCGCACGCGCACGCGCACGCGCACGCGCACACGCGCACGCGCACGCGCACGCGCACGCGCACGCGTACACGCACGCGCACACTTTCTGGCTGCCGCAGATCGACGAATGCAGCCCCTTGCAGCTCTACGCCACAGACTCTTACTTCCTGGGTGGCAAAGCGACCTACAGGCGGCAGCAGAATCGAGCGGGTCGTTTCCGAGCTGCTTCTCTGGAGCTTCGAGTGGGTTTCTGTCAGGTGGGAGCTCCTCGGATACACCGACCTCACCAACAATCCGGCTGGCCGCATTTACAACCGTGAGCCCGGCACTGCTTCGAGAGTCAGTTCATGGGTTTTTTTCCCCCCACTATGCACCACATCCGGTCTCGCCAGAAACGAAGCTGGACCTCTTCCGGTTCGTGCTGGAGAATGCCACGAATGCGGGGCTCTTTTGGGCTGTGCCAATCGCAGAGGATGGACATGTTTGAAAGAGCCTTCAAAAAGGAAGCTCATTGAGATTTGTGAAGCCTTGAAACCGTGCTGGTTGCTTGCCCAAACATGCTTGTTGTGTAGTGGTTTTCGGTTTTGCAGCCCCGCAAAACCGATGTCGATCTTTGCAGCCAGCCGGCGCTGAGTTCAACGAGGGGAAGGTGGAGTCACCCCCGCAGTACTTGGAGGAAGCGGTGGCCTTTACCATCAACCTCACGGTGGCTTGGCAAGTTTGGATGTGGAACTCGACAGAGCGCCAAAGTTGGGGCGTGTCTCGTTTTTGCATTGTTTCATGGTGGGCAGGCCAGGTGAACAATAATTCCTTGTGCAAGCCTGGCAACTCACCGCAGATACCGGGCTGCAAGCGTTTTTTCAACTGGAATCGTGGAAAACAAGGCTGCTCATGTGCGTGGGAGTTGAGGTTGGACCGTTGGACCCCCAAAATGGATCTCGGTTTTCCCTTTTCACTTTAAAAGCCACAGAAAAGAGGCACCCTCCAAAAACGAGAGACCCATGTGGAGCACCGTGGTGACGGCAGAGCTGGTGCGTGCGCTTGCTCCGAGGTCACCAGTCGCTGGGGCCTCCCGCAGAGCGAGCTGGCGCGACGCCAAGTCAACGCCGAGCGCGAAATCCCCTTTGGTGGCCTCAGGTAAATGGATCCACGACCTGGGAAGCTTTTCTGGTTAAGTCGAGCCTCTTTTTGCCAGACGGATCTCGCATGACTTTGAAACCCCTTCGCGCGTGCGCGCCCAAAGGCGACTCACCAGGTCCCCTAGAACCAAGCCATGGGGGGTGTTTTCTGGTCGTCCCTTGTTCATTGCACATCCAAGAAGGAACTGGCCATAGGCTTGACGAACTTCCCCCTCCCATGGATCCATATATGGTCAAAAGCCAAATCGGTTAGCCCCCAGTGAATCCCAATCCCCACTAAAATAGGTGAATGCACCTACCAACCAAAATGGGATCCCAAAACGGTGTTGACAACCACTGCCAAACGAGGTGGAGGTGACTAAGTTGGACTACCCGGCGCCCATGGTGAGCATCCTGGGCCCCAAAGAGCAGCTGGTGAACCGTCCCGAGCCCAAGTCTCTGCGCGAGGTCCGGGTTGGAACACGGGCTTCGGCTCCCTTTGTGTTTGGGGGGGGGGTTTCTGAAAAAAATCGCCCACCACTTGTTTTGGGGGTTTTCGGCTTTCCCAGAAAGCCAAGTCCATGAAACGGGGGTCCTCCCAAGACAAAGGCAGGAGATCCAATTTGTGTCCTGAGCACGGGTTTTTGGTGGAGACCATCTCTTTGCGAGCTTTGTCTTTCAATCGGCGCAAAGGCTCGTGGATAGATTTTTCAATTCAAAAGGCAGTCACGAATCCGCGCCCTCGGGTGCGCCACTGGTGACCATCAAAGCCTGAAGTGGTCTAGTTACCCACATCCATGCAAGGAAATCAAGCGGCCGTCACTATTTCTGGCTGGATTATCCCTTGTTCGGGTTTTGTTTGTGGCTCAATGGAGTTTACCGGTATTGAAGCAGCGAGAATTGTGTTCTTGATGTTGTGGGGTGTGGTTTGGACGGGTTGCGTAATCAACCGGCTCTCTTGGCACCCTTTATGTTTGCTTGCAAGGTTTGTGCAAAGGGGTAGTCTTTCGTCTGCAACTGCGTGCTTGCCAAGCAGATTTCGGTTGTTTTTGATTTTCTTTGTCGGCTTGTTTACAAGACACCCCAGCAAAATGGCTGGGCTTTCCTTCCGGTTTCCTTTCAACCACACCGAAAAAGGGGAAGGGGTAGCCTCAAAGGAAATCGACCAGCTGTGGAGCCGCTTGCCCCGCCCGTTGTTGCAACTTCAGGCACGGAGCAAGTCTCGCTGCTTGCGAATGGGGTGCCCTCGGAGTGTCTGGGCGCCCGGACTTTCCGGGTTCTCTCTTCCTCAGGTTGGCTACAATCAAAACGCCGGGTAATTGGAGACCCGGGCAACTGGAGGGTAGGGAGATTCCCAACCATCAATGGGTGCGGATTTTCAAGCCTTTTCAAGTCTTTCCATTCTGGGTGGACAAAAGGACGCTGGTGGGAACCATTTCTGGGAACCAAAGGGGCCAATGTATCGCAACTTGCCAGGCGCGTTCTGGACTCCCCAGGGACATCAAGGAACCTGAAACTGGGCCGCCTGAAGTAACCGGGTTCGATAGCTAACCCCCCGCCTTAAGGATTCCAGGTTTCTTTTTTCGTTTGCCAAGGGAAGTTTCCAGAAAGGCGCTGGACACTGCCAGCGCCAGCTGCCGCCAGCTGATTTCTCACATGGTCTCCCGGCAGGTTCCACGGTCTCCCGGCAGCTGGGCTACCGTTGGTCCGAGACGACTGGCCAACTAGTCCTCTCCCCAGTCCAGCGGTCGCTTGGCTGATGGGCGCACCGAGCAAGAAGCTGGAGATTTCAGGGGCGTGTGGGTCAATTGCACACTCATAAAGGTCTGGTAAAGGGATGAGCATTGGGGGCAACCACTCAAATCATTTAGATTTCGCTGCCATGGTCATTTCGGGGCCGAACGCAATATTGACCAACCTCCATCTTTTTCTTTGCATGATTGTCGCCGCCAGATCCGCCTATTTGCAATTCAGGACCTCTCTGCCATGACGGACATTGCCGGGCACCCTGGAGACATACTGACTGCGGGGTGCAGTTGTGGGTTTGGCTCCGCCAAACACAGTCACGAGGTTTCTGAGGCAGATGCACAATGTAGGAGGTATTGTAAGCAATGCCCACCGTCGTCGCTACTGCAGCTGCGGCTGTATGAGGCACCTGCACGGTTTCTGCTGGGCAATTCGTCGTGGGTAACCTAAGATAAATCCAAAACCCATACACTTTCAAGCTCTATAGGCCATTGAATTGAATCCAATTCGAGTTGGCCACGTTGGGGCTTGGGTAATTAAACCCTAAACCCTAAACCCCAATTCTTGCCGAAGGTTCGGCCGACGTCTACTTGCGAGGGACTTGGTCGGCCAGGTCTACACGACACGATCCCTGGTGATCCCGCCATTTGTGCTCGAGCCCATTGGCAGTGGCACTGACCTGCCGGGATGCTCGGGGTAGGTCTCACGCTTTGGGAGTTAAGATGCGGTGTAGCGGTTCAATACCCTCCACTCTGGTTTTTGGTTGGGGTTTAGTGGTACTTTCCACCTAAACCACTGAAAGCTAGATTCTTAGCAGGGATCTGGGAACGGCCCAGTCTTGTCATGGCATGCAAGCTTCTTGTTGCACATGCCTTGCATTCGGGGAACGCTGAGATTGAGCATAGCTTGCGCAGTGATATGAGCCTTGAGGAACATCTACAACTTCACCGTGGAGACGTTTGCCATTGACAATCCCAACAAGGCGGCCTATGCATTTGTCACCGTCAAGGCGGGTCGGGGCTCACGAGTTCTGAGAAAAATGAAACTGCGCTTTGGGCGCATCGAATGTTCAGGGCTTCTTGGATCATGGAAAAGTGCTTTGACACTTGTGCTAATTTCCGGTCACCCGCAAAAAAGCAGTTGATCCTAGTAGAATCAAAGCGTGGTCAGTCAGTAGGCGTGTGTGTATAGTTGGTGGGCTGGTTGATACTTTTTTAGGTATGAGTTGGTGGGTTGGTTGGTCAATATGTGTCTACTAGTTGTAGCTCTGAGGCATATGCAGCGCTGTGCTTTGTGGAAGATGGGTCCGGAATTGACAGGTCCGGCGCTCGCCAGTGTTTGCCTACCTGGCGACAGAGGTGGGAGTGAAAGTGCCAAGCCGCCTTCTTCAGGTCGCATATCGCCTTAATCTGTTGGCCAGAATGCAGGTTGTGGATGACGTTTTTTCTTGTCCCCCAGATAGCTGAAAGCTATAGGGATTCTAACTTCTAATAAAGAGGGGAAGGTGATTTGCGAGATTGACGGCTAAGTGCTAGGGGGCGTGCAGTTTGGCGTGCTGGCGCAGGTGCTGTTTGGGGGGTGCTGTTTGGAGGTGCAGTTTGGAGCGCTGGTGACAGCCGCGTTGACGGCGCCGCGGCCGCCATACCCCCCGAGCCACTTCTAGGGCATTGCAAGCGGGTCAGGTGGCGGCGCAACAGGCGACGGAAGCGGTCCAAGCCGAGGATTTCAACCAGCAGCGCCTCCTGCGCAGCAGCTGGTATGTAGAAGCCCTGGCTGCGTGTGCGAGGAGGAACGGCCAGCCGGCCGCTGCCCCAACGATCCCATTGGACAGCGGGTGCGGGTCGAGGGGCGGATGCTGACCGTCGCGGCGGCTGGGTGGTCTGACCAGGCGCGCTGAGCTTCCTCTTGCAAAAGGCCGGCGGCGGCCAGCAAGAAGGGCACATAGACGCGCGAGTTGGTGGCTTCGGGCTGCGGCGGCCCGAGAAACGGCAATCCGAGTCTCGGCTGACAGCTTCGCCGGGGGGCGGCCCAGACGGGAGATTACTGCGCACGGACTGCTGGGCACACAGCTCGCGTAGCACTGCGTCCACGCTCTGTCCATCCCTGGGCGGAGCAGCCGCTGCAGAAGCACCCGTGGCAAAGCGGGCACAGCAGGTCAGCTGCTGCCGCAGCCTGCACTCGCAGTTGCGCTGCGCAGCCCAGGTGGAAAAAGTGCGACGAGTAGGCAGGGAACGCAACGACGGCGGCGCCAAGGCTGCGCGGGGCCAGCGCATCAAAAAATCTGGCGCACACCTGCTCCGCGCTGCCCGACGGCGGGGTCACAGCGGAAGACCGGACCCGCGGGTAGCAGCGCGCCGCCTCCCGGGCAGTCGGCCAGCTCAATGCGGCCGCCGGCGCCACACTGGTTTCCCCAGCCGGCCCCTTTGCTTTGGGGTCTTTTTGGCTGCTCCCACTTCCCCGGAGCTTTGCCTCAAGCCCTCGCTCTTCCGCGTGCTCCTCCTTCACTGTTTGCAGTCCGCATCATCATGATGCTGTCGAACTCATCAGGGCGTCGTCTCTGCCCTTTTTCTGCCCGAGATGTAGCGCGAAATCGCCCGTGGCTGGTGTATCAGCATGATGCTGTCAACATACCGCGGGAACCATGATGATGCTGCGTCATGGTTCGTAGCCATGGTATTGTTATCTGGGGCCTATGCTTATGTAATTTTTCTTTTCCGAAGTTTGGCGCAAGAACGCCCCGGACACACTTCTTTCAGGACCGGCTCATGACGCGGGGGGACATCCTCGTGCTGGACGCGCGCGAGAGTCAGGCACGAAGCTGTTTTCTTCACTGGATTGTTGCTGTGGCTTCCAAAGCAGGACCCAGACTACCCCACCAACCCGGGCATGACCTTCATGGGCACTTTCCAGTGGTGGTGCCTCACTCCGCCGGATCCTCAGAGCGCTGCGGAGCTCTGGGGCAATTGAGAGTATTGAGCAGTTCGATATCTTTGCGAATGGTTCGATCGAGCTTGGCTAGGTCCAGAGCTCCCCTCCCTGACAAGTCCCCGCCCCCCCAGCCGCCCAACCCTCCCCCCAAGCCCCCCCAGCCCCCCCAAGCCCCCCAAGCCCCCCCCCACAAGCCCCCCCCCCCAAACCCCCGTGCCACTCGTAGGGAGCGGCTGCCCTGCTTCGGCACCAACTCCACGGGGCTTTTGCCGACCCTGGACAGCTGCATCACAGACTTCGACTCCAGGACTCGCTTTTTGGAAAGCTTTGGGTCTTCGGGTCTTCGGCTCGACGATTCGATTCGATGCGATGTGACCTTCTTGGCGAAAAGGCGGGTGGTTTTTAGTAGAGATAGGGCTCTGTGGAGAGGAATGGTGCTTGTATATGTATATATATATATATTGAACATATATTGGTGTTACATTTTTTGTTTTCGGCCTGTTGCTCTCCTTGCAACAGGTCCTCCTAAGATTTGCCCCTCATACGGTTGGGCCAAGCTTGCTCTCCTTGCTCACTGCAGCTGGAACACGCGCAATCGACAGGATCGTGCAGGGAGGCAAGACCTTCAGCACCCCGCTCTTTGACAATGGCCTCTACTGCCGCTGGGTACCTCGAAATGCAAGAAGGGAGTGGCATGCGTTGTGGAGGTGTTGCATACTCTAGACAGTTTGGCAGCTGCTCAGATGGCAGTTTCCAGCTTCAGCATGAACTGGAGATAGTGCCAAAGTCAACAATTTGCTGGCTTCATAGTCGTCCTTTTCAGGTTTGGTCAAAAATAGATGGGTCCCACTGGTTCAGATGGGTTTTGTTCCATTTACCAGTTCGAAACCCATCTATTTTCCAAAAGGCTACCTATGGCCTGCTTGCCTAGACATTTATGGCCCTTTTCGCTCGAGCTTCGTAACCTGCTCTCGCCAGGCGCGGGGTGTGCTCATGGTGTCAACGGTCAACTTCACTTCCGGGGAGTACATCTTCGAGGCGCGGACGTTGAGATCCGATGCCCGCATTTCCCGGTTTAGTAATGGACACATTACATGGCTTCACAGAAACTCGCCAGATGCAGATACCTCGTTGCAGCTTGAATGAGCCGGCATAAAGGTGTGGTGTCTGGAAGTGTTCCGAAAAAGAACTCAGACAGGGGAAGTCTTTGGCCTGTGCCAGGTCATGGCACGATCCAACGACGGCCGTTACTCCACCAAGGACTTGACTCGCGCCGTGTTCGACTCGGCAGCTTCCCAAAGCTGTAAGTGTCATTTTAGGGCGGTTTGGCTGCTGAGAAGCCGAGTTCCCCCCAAAGCAAACATGGAGTCAGCGCGAAGTTTTGCTCGTCTTTTTTTTTGGCAGGACACGCGCATCACGATCACAGAGCTGTCGGCACCTTGGAGAGCCCCGAATGAACCGAGCCGGCGGAATGCCCCCCCCCCCCCCACGGGCCATGGTCCACCACTCCTCAGCCCTCGCAACATGAAAGGCCTCGGTGGACAGGTCACCAGTCGGACAGGCCGAAGCGCGCTCGCGGAGAGCGGTTTCCAAGTACTAAGCACTTGGCTCATGTTTTTTCCATAAGCCCCAAGTTCAAAGTTTAGTCAATCGACATCTTCCTTGACACCTTGCCACTGGTGTTGCGCACGTGACCCGCAACCCACGGCGGGTTAGGGTGGTGCCTCAAATCCGGCTCACCATCGACAACCCGCGGCCCAAGTACCCTGTCACCTCTGAGGCAGGTCTCAACTTGGCAGTTGCAACAAAAAACTACGCGACCCTTGTTTTTCTGGTTTCATCCATGGCCTTCTCAAAGTCGCCCCTGGGTGGTAGCTTCAAAAAACACCAACCAGATGGATTTTCCCAAAAGAAACCGAGCCAAAGACTCCCCGGCCTGCGCCTTTCCGCTTCACTCCGCCTCGGCCGCTTCACTCCGGCGGCTTGGCTGAGCCGCCAGATCAGCATCTCGGGCACCGTGGAGTCGGAGCTGGACCCCACGGTGACGCTGGAGTTCAGCTGGCGCGCAAGGGCGCCCGAGTCGCGAGTCGCCTCGCGCGCGCGCGAGCGAGGCGAAAGGTTTGGGGGAAATTTGGACATGGCTTGGCTTGTGGGGGTCGGGTTGCCCGGAACTTTGAGAATCCGCAGGCTTGGAAAGGGGGTTGATCCGACTTTTGATGGCTTTGTGGGGGATTGGACTTTGATCGCGTGCATGGAAGCGCAGTTTGGCTGTTTGTGTTGCCAAGGTTTTGGTCTACTCCGCGAACCCGTTGTACGATGGCGACCGAGCGCGAGAAGCAGAACAAGACAACGACCCCACCACAGTTTACTTGGTAGACAAGCATCGGGCTGAGCGCTTTCTGCAATCTGATGCAACTCAGCAAGGCATGCACAAGGTAGCCTCAACACACACTCCATCGCTAGTGGCCTCAATTCCCAACAATTTTTGGGCGCATATTAGGGCACTAATCCGACTTGACCGGTTCAAAAGTGCATTCTTCCGTTCATATTCTCAGACCTTGGCACACGACGCACCCACCAAATTGTAGACCAACTTGAGTTGATTTGATCCAATGCATCAAGCTTTGGATGAACATGACCAGACCAGAGGGTCTCTTGCAGCCTCAGATGTACTTAGGATGGTGTACATAGACCAGACGGACGTTTACGACGTCACGAACGCTTCTCGCTTTTTCACAAGGCCTGCAAAGCAAAGCAACCCGAGGTGAAACTCATACACTCAGTCGTGATGTGTGCCCTTCAGACACAATAAAACTAGCTTTTAGGACTTGTTGCGTTGCATATTTGTTCAGCGCGCAACACCACGTCGAATGAAGGCTAAGGATTATCAAAATCATCGCCTTTGCCATCATGCAAACTGAAAAGCTCAGTTGGATATTCGCGAGGTTAAGGGCGGGCCAGCGTTGCAGACTTGTGGATTGGCAAGTCGCCGAAGCATAAGCCTTAAACTTGGTTTTGTAAGGCTGAGCACACCGCCAAACTTCTTCTCTCCGCAGGCCGGACTCGCCCAACATGATCATCAAGGCATGGCAGACCTGACGGCATCATTTGTTCTGTCTCTTTTGCAGTTGGCGACATGCGCGCAAAGCGCGATGTTCTCAGGGCAACGTGCTCCAAGAGTCCACCATATACAAGCCCTCGCCCCAGGTTACGTTTTTTTTTTTTCTTATTTTTTTTTTTGTTTTTGTTTTTTTTTTTTTTTTTTTTTTTCTTTTTTTTAATAGGTCCTCATGGGTCCTTGGCTCTGCGCGCATGAGGATCCGTTTGGTGATGACGGTCGGGGGAGGTGCTATTGAGGGCTACACAGATGCGTGGAGCCCCAGCTCCAAGTCACCGAAGCAGCCAGGGCAGACGAGCAGCAGCGCAGTCGGCGCAGCGGGGGGGTCAAGCCCCGAAGCGCGTGGGCTGGCCACTAGTTTGGAGTCTCTGCTATCCCTACATTATTTTCGTATCTTCAAGCTACCCCACTGAAGAACAGCTTCCAAGAGGTGCGGAAAAGAGCTCTTGAGACTTCAGCAGGCTAAGGGTTGATCAAGATCATTGGCTTTGGATCCTCGCAGGAAAATCCGCAAGGGCTGGTCAAGACGCTCCGCAAAGAGACCTGCATGTTGGCAGAAATTTGCGGCTGTATCAAACGTACGCTCTTTATATACCATGTAGGAAGAGGCGTGTTGCCAGAGAATCAAATGAATAAGTTAGACCGACAGCGCTCGACTCACGCGGGCTACGCGCTACACCATGACGGTCGGTGTCTTGTGAGAAGCACGGCCTCTCACTGCATTTGAGAGGGAGTTGAAAGGTCTGTTGTCATTGTGGTATTGTACCTCCAAATTGCAAAACAGCACTTCATCAAAGAGGCGAGCAAGACTATGAAGCACCAACGTGGCCATCGTTCAAATGGGTCGCCACGCCACGGTCGGCGCGAAGCAGCTGCTTTTCCGCTGATCCCGCAGGTGTCATTGGAGACCGCTGGCCTTCCGCCGCGGAGCGGTACATTGCTCTGCGTGCCGCTGAATGCCACCATGGACACGAAGAGGCTCGATGGTTTGTGGGGTTGTCTCCGTTTCCGCCTCTTCACCGGCTGATGTTTTTGGTTTCCCATAACATGCCTTCGGAAAAGAAACGGCATCCCTGCATGATAGCAAGAAACAGGGGGTTGACATGTTGGGCTGTCAATGGTATTGGTGAACATGGTGGACACGAACATGTGCTTGAAGAATGTTTGAGTGGAATATTCTGCAACGGTAGCTTCCAGAAGCCAAGCCTCTCGAGCCCATTTCAGGGTGATTTCAGCGCCTGACTGGGTCGCCAATGACCTGCCGTTGAACTATCAGTTTGGCTCAGACCTCGGTTTGGCTCATGGCCGACGCCGTAGAACTTGCTCAGGGAATGCCGCAGGTTTTGGGAATGAACCGGAAAGGTCGTTCCATTTCTCATTCCTGGCCTATCGAACCAAGAATCAGCATGTGCAATTTGGCACAGGGTCGGAAAGCAGAGAGCGGACATGCGGCACAGCCCGGAGTTCCGGCTGCTGAGGCTACATGTACTACCTGGGCATAGGCTTGCGTCTGGGGTCTGGGAAGTCTAAAGATGCTCGAATGTTCTTCACAATGGCCAGGAACCTCGGTTCTGCAGTTCCCAGTCCGGTTCAAAGTGTTTTTGTTGGTTTAGTGGTTAAACATGAAACCACTCGCAGTGTTCGGCTTGTAGAGGGGAGAGCTAAGCGGACAGCACTCGAGGAGTGATTCCCGGCAGCAGCCTGGAGGCCAGCACGCGCCCAGACACCGCGGCTTTAGGCTCGGTGCAGCGGGTTTGCGTCGTGTTCCTCCCGCCATGGCCCACGCTCTACTTCGTCTTATCGTGCTGGGAGGCGGGGGGGTTTGCGTTGAGACTGGAGACTGGAGCAAGCTGAAGCTTTTCAGCTTGCGGATGACTAAGCACCATTCTGGCCTCGTGGACGGTCTTTTGCAAAGCAGAAGTTGCAGCTGTTATGGATGCACGTGTGGGATAGGTGCTCTCGCAGCTGAGAATTGCGCCTTGGCACGCACTGGGATGTGGGGAAAAAGACGGCTTTTGGAGACTTCCAGTCTGAGAGCTGTCCGAGATGCGATTCTGGGCTCTGTATTCGCTCAGGTGTGGAGAATGAAGACTTCTCCGTGTTGCAAATGCAAGGCTTGGAGCACCTGAGCAATCAGTTGGAGCAAAAGGAAGGGCTGTGTGAAAGAAACAACTTACTTTCTCATGTTGCTAATGCGACACGGATCGCTGGTGGTCGAAAGAGATTTTTAGCGGGGCGTTCCTTTTTTTTTTTCTTCTCTGGGTAGAATGGAACAGGCTCAGTGATGCAACAGGCAACAGTTTTGGTGTTCTCCCCTGTTAGGGCAGTCGTCGCGGCATGGCTCTGAGCTTCAGGCGGGCTTTCAAGGGTCAGGTTGCCCCGGGCGGCCAAGGTCCGAGGGACGAAAGATGTGGAAGAATCAGGTGCCCCGTTTTGGGTGCTTTGGAGTGTGGGATTTGCTCTTCCAGTTGTGGGGAGGTGGGAAATTCCTCCACCACCGCTTTGGCTCCAAAGACTTGGAGGGAAGCTGAAAGGAGGCTTCGGGTTGGAGGCCGCTGTGAGTTGCAGCGGCCAGGCGCGGTGGCGGGGCCTGGGAAAGGTGCTGGCTCCTGCAGAAGTGAAGTCCCTGGAGCATCCCAAGAAATGGCCCGCCCGGCATGTCCTTGGAGAAGGTCGGACATGTTTTGTCCACCGGACACTTGCGGCGAAGAGACTGTGAGTCATGTTTCCCTGCTGATGCTGGGAGTTGGGGGTTAGCCTGGAGCAACGACATTGCCACAAGAGATGTAGCTTGCCAAATTCAGTGGACTCCTTTGGCAGCCGCACCCAGGCATGGTGTGAACTACGGCCATCGTTTCCTCCCGGAGGATTGGATCAAGGCGCTCGGATTCGCGTGATTCGCGCCGCGATCTGCGCTGCGATCTGCGCGGGTTGCGATGCATGCGGGTCCCGATATGGCTGCGGGTCAAAAATGGGGTGAGTGAGTGGGTGGGTGGGTGGGTGGGTGGTACCCAAAATGGAACCCTGGTAAATGGAACCAAGGACGAAAACCTGACCCGGGCTGAACATTTTGACCCATTGGATGCGTCTCGGATTGAGACAGGTCCCTCGGGACTTCTTCGAGTCCATCCCGAAGTTCGGGCCGCGGTCCGCCCTGTGGGACCTGCAGGGTGCAGGCGCCAAGGACCCGGAAGTGGCAGCATGTGGCAGCTCGGTTGCCTGCACTCACGCGAGCCAGGACCATATGCTGGGCTGGCTGAATGAAACCATTCAGGAAGCCCACTTTGAAGACATGAAGCACATGGGAGTGGAGGTGCTGCGGGTGCCGGCGCCCTGGCGAAACCGGAGTCGCACATGCCAACAGCGCGCGGCGCTGGTGGCTTCTTCTTTTTGATGGTCGGCTGGTTGTTTGACATGACCAGGGTAACAGTGCTAGATTTGACGGTACCACTACCAATCAAAGGGTTTGTGTTCGCAGACCCTCACGTTGTCAGATGAGGGACCAACGAGTCGCAGCCTGCGGAAGGATAAGTGGAGCGTGGTAGGAGCCTTCAGCGAAGATACGGTTGCTGCAGTCGCGGCAGCCGCAAAGTTGCCCAAATCTCACAATCAGATCCCTAAGGTGGGCTACTGGAACTTCGTGACCTACCCTGGCGACGAGGGACCAGAGGCGCCGCCACAGTTCAAGGCCGCTGGGCGCATGTCAGGCTTGCGAGGCAGGCGTATGCGGGGCATGCAAACAATGAAGAGCTGCATGCGCGAAACACATCCTAGAAGAGAGGCGAGCCGCTGTGGGTTCGTGTCGCATTGACGCGCTTGTGAAAGTTGGTCAACTCAGAAACTTTGAGATGGCTGGGTCGCGCCCACGTCGATGTTTCCTGGTTCACGTGCTGAACCAGGAGCAGTTCAAGAACCTCCACCGCATCGCGACACCAGAAGAGCCACTGGGCGATATCATCGGCATTTCAAACGAGCAATTGAAACCCAACCGCTTTGGTTCAATGTTGTTGGCTCCGCACAAAGAGCTGTTGTGGCTCCAAAACTGTCGGCCACCATTTTGCCAATCGCGATCCCCGTCGCCATGAGCCATGGCCACAGTCATTCAACGTTTCAAATGCAGTGACTTGCTGGTCGATAGCTAGGGAATCTGGGAATGAACCTTCCTGTCGGGATTCCCGAAACAAGGCAACCACATCGGATGTTTTTTTTTTTTTGGGTTTTGTTTTTTTTTGGTGTATATATATGTATATATGTATTCATTTATTTCGGGGTGATTCCCATGTTTTTTCTTCTCCAGGGCCCCGGGCCGACTCGAAGGCTCCGGACTGAGCTGAGGTACAAGCCCTACTTCGACCGCCTCTTCGACTTCGCCGGTCGTCATGGCGTGAAGGCCTTGGGCTTAGAGGAGCCGCAGGAGCCCAGTGGAGGGCTTGCGGGGCGAGGTCGCGGCTTGAGTGGACTGAAAAACCGCTTTTTGGGCTTGGACCATTTTAGTGGTAAAGAAGTTTGGCGGCAAGTCTTTGTAGCAATACACTCAGGAGTTTAAGCAGTGGCTATCTTTCAAAACAATGTGCCAATCAACTCTCCTCAAGGGGGCATGCGCCAAAGCAACTCGGGGCGCTCTCTGCTGGGCAGCGTCAGTTTTCAGGGATGAAGGCTCACATCTTCGTAACATGCTGTGTAGGCTTTCGACCAGCGTGTAGGCCTGCGTAGGCATATGGCAGAGGCACAGTTGCGAATCCTTTGCAGAGGTTGTCGCGGAAGCGACAATGTTTGAATTTGACCGGTCATGTGCTTTTGCTGTAAGGGTGGAAGATGTGAACCATTGCTGTGCCATGTGGGATGGTCTGATGACGTGTGAGTTCCTAGCATGGCGCAAACTAGGTGACAAGTAAGTACACCCGGGGCGCTTCAAGCAAGGCTCGGCTTTCCTTTGTTTGAAGCTGGAACTGCCAAAGTGGACTGTGCGGCTGCGCGTACTAACATAATGTGAACACCTTTAGAACCATCAGGCGGGAGAACGATAATGCCAGCAAGGCGAACCGCGAAACGACAACGCCACAAGGTGATGCAGCCCGAAATGTGCTGAGATGCCCGTTGTCGCTCATGCGCTCAGGGTGAGGTTTTTCAGAACCCCCGTTTTTGGACCAGGATTAGTACAGTTTTATCGAGGATTTTTCTGGCCCAAACCTTCTGCGCGGAGTCTGGGCCTGACCATCCCGTTTGGTTTTGTCAGATGGAAACAGGTGCTGCTGGACCTTCACGGTCTGCCTGGCTCGCAGAATGGGGAGATCCACAGCGGGGCCTCTCGCCAGGAAGAAGCTTCGATTTGGGCTGGCCTCTCCCTAAGCGGCGGGTTAAAGGGAAGCAACCCCATCTTTGGTAACCCCCAGAAACCGTCAAAATAATGACCCCAGTTTTGTGGGTCAAGGGAATCCGAGAGGAGTCCAAGGCGTGGTTTTGCTGTTGGGTCAAGATTTGGCGCGGGGTCTACTTCGCGGAAAAATACGAAGTCGAGAGCTGAATATGCGGACATTCCGACCATTCAGTGCATCCATGGGCCTCTCCAAGAGGAATGCAGGACGCCCAAAGAACCGAGTGGATGTAGCCAGGATTCATAAGTTTAAGTCAATCCTCCAAGTTATGGCTGTCAAATGGCCGCAAAGATGGGGCAGTGTAGGCACCAGGTGCTGGAGCAGCACTGGGATGGGGCTGACTTGCTTGTCCTGGTTGAGTTCGGAGCTCTTTGGTGTGACTTGCCTCTGTTGCTCTCCCCCCTTGGACTTTCCCACAAGCCATAGACATGGGATTGACCTGAACAAGAAAGGGAACGGGGAAGGTCTCAACGCGGTCATCTCACAGGCGTCGCATCTGAGGCTTGCACCGCCGAGGATGGCAGCGGCCAGGAGGTCTTCTTCCAGAACTGGGCCAACCGTCAGCACCTCGACGCCGAAAAACCACAAAGGCCCAGAAGCTCCCGAGCCCGAGGTTGGCCCTTGGTTTGAACCGGGCCCAAGAAAGAGCGAGCCTCAACAAAAAGACGCGCCCGTTTTGGTGCGACATATTTTCTGGTCTGGGTTTCGATATGACCTGGCAATGAAATCGCCTCGCCAAATTCTCCTCAAAGACAGCTTGCGTCGCGGTTTGTGTCGTTGGCTTCGATAACTCTCCTTGTCGGAGTATGTGGTCTGTGAGGCATGATTATCTTCTGACACTTTTGGTGCTTTGTGTCAAGATGCCAAGGGCTGCTCTTCAGAGGCTGTCTTTCAACCGATCTTTGAGAAACACTTTGCCCCTGTTGTACATGCCAGGGCCCATGCCATGGGGGTGTGGCTCAAAATTAAACAGGATGGGCAAACCGCAGGTTTTGGTCCATGTTTCCACTTAGCAGGGTTGATTTTGGTACCGGTTTTCGCAGCCACAGCCATGGGGACGCCAGTGTCTTCCCTGAAAAGACTCTCCCTGCTTGCTCGCTTTTCGGGCCTTCTCGCTAGGAAGGCGG